AGCTGCTGATAATCAATTTCAAAACAAGGGAATATCACCATTTGTTTGACGATCTCTTAGAGTGCTAACATTGAATGAATTTTTGTAAATATCAATCTATCTATGTAACGTGAAGCGTGTTTGGATCTATTGTTCGACAACATTATTTCAAAAGTTTACTGTTCCTAATAGACAAAAATTCAATATAATGTGTCATAAACAATTATATTTTAGGGAAAATAGGTGGACAATATTCACTTGTTAACTGAATTTATTCTGTGAATTTCACAATGTACGAAACTTAAATATTCAGTGAACTGTGAGCATCATTACTATTTGTTGCATTTTAACATTCATTTATGGATATAGTATCGATAGTCACTGCTAAGCTACTTCGCATAGTAACAGTTCATCAACCGAACAGCTATAAACTCATAAAATACCTCCCCTAATATTTTGTTAAAAATTCATTTATTTCAGCCTGAAATTATTTATTTAGAGTCTTATTATTTATTTACGCTAATCCATTCTTGTCTGAACAGGTTGAAAGCTCACGAGCTTGTTTATCCACTTTGAATGTTCAGTATACGTGTCGTATTAAACAGTTACGAATAAATTTCTGTTTATTTAGAAGATGAGCATTAAATATAAAAGTTAATTTCCATTATAGATTCGACATAAAGCTCTGACTGTTACTACACTTGTACTTTTGATCAGGCGTGTTTGGGTGCCCTACTCAAATGTAGATAAATTCAGATGTTTGTAATAAAATCTTTAGTAAAAATACACTATTATACTCCCCACTCACCCATCAAATTAACTGAGAAATAGGCGATGGCTAGTAGTGGAATTCAGGACTTAAGTTTCTTTCTATTTGGGACCTGTCAGCTGGATGTACCGGCATGACAGAGTTGATATTCACCGCAGGACTCGAACTCAGTACCGTTCTCTTTAAACACCATCGTTTTATCCACTCAGCTACCAAGTCCTGATAGCCACTAACTTGTGAAATGGGGTGAAGTTCCAATTGATTTTGTATTGTTTATTTGAATCTTCCCATCGATGTTTAGGACTACAATTGATCTTTGCTTAGAATGTTTGTGACTTAAGACAATATTGAGGAAATCTGTACAGAATGCACATATGCCGATAAGAGACTGATCAATTGCAGTCCTAAACAACAATAAGAAGATTCAAGTAAACAATACAAAATGAACTTAAATGAAAACGTCGGAAAATGCCGTCTACTACAAAATTATTAAATATTGAAGAAAAAAAAACAACTGAATGAACTCACAGTGAAAAACATAACAAGTAAATATGTCATTTTTAACTTTTGTTTTAATCATTTTGGTTAATTATTAACTTTTATCCATGTAAATTTTCATATATATATGTAAATGCTTGTATGCCTATTTGCCTATTTTTACTCTCAGTAACCATAAAAATTAAAACAAAAATTTATAAACTACTTTTACAATCAGTCAATACACATATTATTAAATTGATCTATGAATCAAATAGTACACATATTTTTTTCACATTTTACATTTTCACTTATAAATTTTAAGTAGGATTTAATAACCACTTAGAAAAATCAAGAAAGACCTAGAATTTGGTTTAGGGGTAAAGATAATTTGTAGATAATAACAGAACAGGTTTAATGTTAAAAAAATTTATTATTTATATGTGGATTTTGTATTGATGGTATTGTTTATACAAGCTTCACTATTAAAAATACCATCAATAGGCATACAATTTCAACAAAATCATTTTATTGAACTGCAGAACTTATCCATCAACACAGTTATTATAGTCTTTCGATCAATCAGAATCAAAATAATTTATATATCTGATCAGATAGAGTTTTAGTCTTACAGCTAATAAAAATAATCTTTAAATTGATTATCTGAAAAACTTATAATGCTTGTTCTAGAAGTTCATTTATGTATTCCAAAACAGCTTCTAGTAACATAAATTAGATGGTGAATGAAATTTAATTTATTGAAGTGACTGTGCTCAACAAACCATTTTGTTGTGGTTATTTCTGTGATTTATATTGTTTGATATTGTTAGTGTTCATATGAAATGTTGATATCAATTTCATGTTGAAATTCCAAATATTTTACAATCAGTGTGTACTTTATGGTTTATAGTTACTAATGGTTTGAATTTGTGAGAAAGTATTGTGTGTACACTTTCGTGTTCATTGTTAATGATTAAAAGTGGATAAGCACTTAATTACTGGATAAATACAAATACTAAAACTGTTGCATTATATCATGAATGAGATTAAAGTTTTTTTAAATAAAGAAAAGAAATAACTTTAAATAATGTACTCACTAGTGACTGGAATCAATATGGATTTCCTGGAGTTCTAGTGAGAAGCCGTGACTTACAGAGTCCAATCCGCGTCGGTTAGAGACAGGTATCTACCTCGGACAATCGACGAATGGTTGCGCAAGACCATGAATCGATTGAAGTTAGACGTTAACATCGTTAAATGTTGGCTCAGTGGTCTAGAGGTTAAGCGTCCACGTGAAGAGTCGTGGGTACAAACTGCTGAGGAGTCTCATACTAGGATGTAATGTACGTTCAGTGCTTCGAGATTTCTAATAATAGTCTAGCTTAAATTGACCAGTGAATTCAACCGTTAAAAAATTACTACAATCTCCACAAACCTCCATTCTAATAATAACTTTCAATTTCTTTATAAGTTTTCTTTAGTTGTAAAAGTGAAAATTCACTTCTTAAATAGATCATTCATCTTGTTATTGCAGTTAACCTTTAACGAATGTCAACATAATGAAATATGGATGGGTTCTCAGTTAATTTTCGTCGTTGGATGACATCAGTAAGGTTGTTAATAAAAAACGTAGAGAAGCAGACAAAGCTTTCCTTTGAATATGAAAGTACTTAGCTGTGTACCACCATTTTAGCTCCATAGATTGGACATAGAACCTTCAAGTCCCTTAGTTAGTGCATTATCTTTTAAACATTAATTTCCAGTTCAGAGGTTTAGATTAAACAAATCATCAACCAAATGTGAACTTTTAAACAAATTCTAGGCATCCTTAAATATCAAAGTTCCTAATTAGTTGATTTCTTTTATCTTATAATTTATGTTAACTATATTCTCAAAGATTTTATGACATTATTTTTAAAAGTGAATTTCATCCACATTTCTAATAAAGCAATCGTACATTATTGAAAGTGTAATTAATAGGTATAAATCAGAAATAAGCCAAATATTTGAATTATCAATTGTTGATTATTTTCATCAGTGGTAGACTAAATATACAAAATATCAACTATATAGCATTTATAACTGTCTTATGTGACACTTATTCTTACTGACTCGGTAACAATGCTGTCAACAAAGTAATATGATAATTATACAAAATTTCTATTTAAGTAAATAGTTAATCAGTAAAATGTATCATTGTAGTGTTTCATGCTTTTTATTTTCTTCTTTTCAAGCTAATTTATTTGTTGTCAGTTAGGGTTGTGGAGATCGTTGAATTTCATTGCAATCATGGACCGATCTAAATTAGACCACCAGTGAAAATCTGGAAGCCCTAGACAGCCATTTCGGTTTAGTGCAGTACTTCTCAGGTGTGTATATTGACAACTGTACATCCGGGAATCGAACTAGGGAACTTACGTTCTGCACACTGACGTTTAACACCTAGACCAATGTGTCGGCATCCAATGGTGTTGATATTTATTATTTACTTGTTTAAACACATAATCATTGGTACAAGGAGGCACCAAATACATATGCGCCACACAGATCTCATTTGATATGTGTGAGTGCTGTAATACTGCCTGTGTGCCCAGACCGAAGTAGGTGGTTTACTTAGGGGGTCACACTCGGAGCCTTCGATACAAAGGTTTGATCCACGAGGCAATGCAGCAACGTAAGGAGATGCAGTCCTATGATAGCCGGTGACCAACAATTGGTTCACACGCCATTTGTTCCTTCAGGATACTGGAGCCCATGTACACCATTGGTTTGGAATCAGAATTTTCCAACTCCCCTAGGTGGGCTCTCCATGTCCACCAACCCAGTTAAAGTGCCGAACATTCGCTTTTTGTTATATCCCGATAAGAATAACGAATGGTGATTCTTGGGATCCATTTATGGACCTATACTATGAGTATATTTTTATCGTATAATTGTTATGTAACTAAACTGTTCATATTCATGTCCCTCTTATTATAAGTTTTATTCTGACCTATGAACTATTATTATACGATTTACCATTCTTGAGTTATGGCCTGTCTATTAATTACTATCTCTCTCATTCACAGCCACTTTTGGCTAAATATTGTACAAATGTTGTTTCATATTTTATGGTACGTTGTGGTCTGTCTGGTTGATATATAAACCGAGTATGTTTGAAATAAATGATTCATATCGCAGAGGCTGAGATTGGTGTTCTGGACTTAACTGGCTGGGCTAGATGGGAAGAAAGACCAATAAGGACTCTAGACTGCTCGCACGTGTTTTATACGTCACTGGTTCGATTGATAATTCGCTGCTCTCTGATTGGCGGTATCGTCGCGTTATCCGATATACAGGGCACACAGGTTCGCAAGTTATAACACTTTTCATCTTCTCAATTTCGTAAACAACACCCCAGCCACGAAGAGTCAGTGAGTAGAACTTCTTTGGCAGTGGTTGTATTTACGTGGCCATGTAAGAGCTGACTCTCCCTACTCTCGGCCGTATCAGGGCATCAATCCATGGCATTACACAACCATCTTCCATTACCTTCAGTTGATAGTTACATCAGAATAGATACAGTTCAACTTTATTAGTCTTAGTTTTTCACTAGAATTACAGAAACTAACGGAACAACCGTCCAGTACTTTCATATTTTCAATGATTGTTTAATGTAGGTTGATTCATAATTTCAATTCAATTTAATGATTTCTATGTGTTTTCGTCAATCGTCTTTCATCATTTATTTTATTCATTAAATAAAAAAAACATTAAAACAAAACAAAAGACATGATCATAAGTTCACAAATATTTTGTCAATTCTTTTTTGTATTATGTACATAACAGTAGTATGAATTTATTATTTATCATTAGGATTAAGGAAGAAGAAAAAAAACATTCCATTATGATATTTATAATAAAAAAAGAAATATTGTTTATACAAAATTGTTAGATTCTGTTGTTAGTTGATTTACTTGTGATTTCATTTTTGATTGTTCTTCTAAGATCTAATATGAATATTGAAAGAAAATGTATGACAATAAGATTAAAAAAAGAGCGGTTATATTTGACATTAAATAAATATATGATTATATGATAGAGTTATATGTTATGGTAAAGAGATAAATGAAACAATACAGTCAATAAACTGTTCCTTATGGAAGGAAGCTGTTAGCTAATTTTATAAAAGTAACAAGAATGAGTTTCAAAGTTTAAAAAAATGTTTAAAGTATTGAATTATAAATGATATTATTGATTCAAATCGAGAACTGATTGATGTTACACCACTATTAAAAACCTAGAAGCACTGGATGGCTGTTTCTTCCTATTGTGAGACACCTCAGCAGTGCGCATCCACGATCCAGCTCGCAAGATTCAAACCCAGAGCCTTCTGTTTCGCGTGTGAAAGCTCAACCTACTAGACCATTGATCCAGCATCAGATGGTGTTAATGTTTAACCTTAACCAATCCAAGAAATTGTGCGACCATCTTCCATTGTACTGAGGTAGATATCTGTCTCCACCCGCCATGGATTAGCTCCACTGGTCACAACTTCTCACTAGACCTCTGAGAATTACCTCACGAAGCTAGTCATCAGTGAGCATATGGTTATTATCAGTATAGGACTGTGGAGTTTATTATGTCATTGATTGAGATCAAGAAATTAAGTAATTAATTATCCATTCATTTGTTTTTTTTTCAAAGTCATTCTATTCACGATGAACATATGTCCAGTCTTGAATATGAAGAACCGGATAACTTAAAGGATTATCAATAATAATGTAAATATTATATTCTTTGAGCAATCTAATAGTTATTTGAACTTGATAGCTTATTGGGTAATATAGTATGTTGGAGCGAAAGGTACATGGTTTGAGTCTCAATGTGAACACCAACACTGAGATGCAAGTATATCCGGTTAGTGAGTCTCAAATAGTACAAACCGCACGTCTTGGATTCTACTACTAGCTCACATCAAATCAAATGTCCATAGGAATAATTCAGTCTAAAGTTTAATTCATTCTGAAAATAAACTATATCTTCTAATGGATCAACTCTGTATGGTTTAGAAAGAAAAGGGAGGTCTAAGCAATTTGAAAACATGAATCAATAGTTGCATTTCAAAATAAATGAACCAATGAACGGATAATCGCACAAAAGGTAACAGTTACACACTATGATACAGACTAAATCTAATCACCTTATTAATAAAATTTTATCAAATTACTACTTCATAGTGAATAACACTAGACGAGATTATAATTTGTGGACGAACCAAATAAGTGTAAGGTAACAGGTCTCAAATTTTGGCACGTAATTCACCCATCCATTTGACTAAATAAAATTTTGGCATTATAGCTGATGTCAGTTTGTGATGAAAACTCTAAATCTAATTTCTAACCCTAACCATCAACTATAAATCATAATTCTAACTCCTCACGATGGTTGATAACCCTCATTTAGTCCTAGTTATTAGGTGAACACCGTCAAGGTCACTTTAGCATAGCTCAAAGATCGTCCATAAATTAAAGTCTCACCTGTTTTTTAATCCAACTAAAATGCGCGTACTTTACATTGTAATTCTATTTCAATGATTATTCTTTAGTCAATCAAAAGTGAAAGAACAAACAATTTTATTTTAACAACGCAATATGCAAACTATTGAATTTCGCAATAGTGAACAATATTTCAAACCAACTTCAATTTTATGAAGGATAATGTACAAGTAGTCAGTTTATTCTACTTAAAATATCGATAATTAAAATTTTATTCTAACGTTTTTGGAAAATTTCTATCAAAGAAAAAAAATAATGATAAAAGGAATCCCCATACATCAAGCATTTATATAGATTGTTATACTACTTGAATTGTTTTAATTGTGTAATTATTAAAATAATTAAGTAATATATGAAAAGTTAAACGAGTATATTTAGGAAGAAAGTTTAAAAAAATTTTCTTAAAAAATATAAAAATCTTAACGAATTCACAATAGGTGGTAAACTGATTTATAGACAGAAACATAATGTTACTATATTCAATGATGAAATGTAATATACATAGTGAACAGTTCTAGCTAATTGTATATCTATCTATCTGTCCATCTTTCTATGGTGCTGATCACATACCAAATGCTTTATCAATACTACTACTACCTTTCTAAATACATCATCTTATTATTTTGGCTAGACGACCATTCACAATCACGAAGTATTGGTCATAGGTTTTGTCCTAGTGTGAATGTCTTCATCAGCATACATCTCAACAATGGAATAGTCCAGTACCTTCAGATCTGGAGGAGAGCTTGTTGACCAATTGTATTGAATTGATATCCATTTGATCTCAATTTCAACTTTAGTTAGTTTGCAATTTTGTCCAGTCGTCAGCTAGTGCCTTCTGGTTTCCAAACGTTCAGACTACCACTTAAGAAAACATCTGTCCATATAAAGATTTAATTATAAGATGTAACTGACGTATTAAACATACCTCACACTATCATTACATAGTAGTTTTATAAAGCAGGGGTAAAAGTTACTACAGAAAATCATTTGTTCAAACTTAGTTTCTTGAGAAACAGTTAAAAATATTTCACAAATAGACAAGTAGAATTTATTTCAGAACAGAATAAGCGAGATAATCTATAACTTGGTCTATTGTAAGAAACATTTATGAATTATTGTCCATAAACTAGACTAAGAGATAAAATTAGAACCACTTAAAAATATTAGTAGTAGTGATGCGATTACAATGACAGCGATAATAACAGTGACAAGAATAATATCTAAGTGGTCTTCGTTACAGTTGATGTACCAATGAAAACATAACGAAGGAATTGTTGGGTCGAACAAAACTATCTTTGCATACATATGAAATGAATGAGAAGTGACAATCTGTTTTTATTCTGTTTAGTAAATACTATAGTAAATGAATATACTACACTGAGATGGAGAAAGTTTGTAGCTCAAGTGGATGATTTTGGTGGAGTTAATGTGTTCTGAGGTGAATGATCGTTCTTCCGAACAATACCATCAGCACAAAAGTTAGGTAGAAGCGAAGTGTTCGAATTTCTCCACGACCAAATGATCTAGCTCAGAGAACAAAACTCCACCAAATATTCTACATTACATGAGTCCACGACTTATTTGGTTATAGTAAGTCTAGGTATCTATAGCTTGTTGTCAAACTAGCACAGTGGTGTTGGATAATTGAATTTAATAGAATATGACCTAGTTTATAGTATTTGATTAGTGTTATAGATTACATGACTAGTTCGCATAGTGTCAAATAATTAAATTCTGTAGTTGTCATCATTTTCTATGGTATAAACTGAAAAAGTAATGTCTCGAAACACGGTCAGAATGTACTGTCAACTGAACCTATCATAAAAATTTTACTCAAGACAATAGATGATTGCTACGACTTAAGAGATAAGGCAGCCAGAATAAATTAAAGCTGTCTTGTAGAATAAGTTTCATTTAAAATATTCTTTCTAGACCGATGGAATCTCAGTTCATCTAGAATTAAGGGCAAAAGTGATAATAATTTTGGAACCTGACAATATAATACAAAATGTATATTTCTTTAAGTATAGTGTAGTACTGTTTTAAAATGTTTAGGAATTAAATGAGGAGTCATGAAAAAATTAAACAAGCACTTGAAAACAAAGAATGAGATTGCTCATTATAATAAGGGAACATTATGACTGAATTTATTTTATGATATCTACAAGGAGGGCAATATGACTAATTTCCTAAAGCTTCATTAAGGTATACGTAATACTTAGTTATGACTTTCATACGGCTGGTGGGGCGAGACTATAATTTGTGGACGAACCAGTCAGATTTAAGATAATAGGTCTAGGATTTTAGCGGAAAATTCATACACACTAAATACTATTTTGGCATTATAGCTGATGTCAGTTCATGATGAAAACTCTAAATCTAATTCCTAACCCTAACCATCAACTGAAAATCATAATTACAATTCCTCACACTAATTTATACTCCTCAGTTAGTCCTAGTTATTTGGTGGATATTTTCAATATCATTTTAGCGTTTCTCAAAGGTCGTCCAAAAATTATAGGTTGACAGTAAATAAACCTCTTATGCTTATATTGTCCCAAAAAATCTATGCGGAAAAGTTTAACTTACATAGCTACGTTGAACATAGTAACTAACAAACTGGATATACATTATAGCTCAGCAGAATAATATGATGTATGAACATGACGGAATATATAAAAAACTTCGTTACATAAAAAAAGTCGTACTTATCCACAATCTATTCAATCAGTTGTGTATATTTTTAACCTATAAGGTACACTGAAAAATGAAAACATCCAAAGTGTTCAATATTATTATTTTTATACCTGTAGGTAATAAGGCCAAATTTTCGGTACGTAGTAGGTAAATATCTTGATTAACTGTGGAATATATATTTTAAAATAATATTGATTTTTATCCATTGATTTGGTGAAAGTCCGCAAATGTGGTTTGAATAGTATCGTGTAAGATTCTTCTATTTCCTTCTGTTTAATTAGTTGGATGAACTGATTCAGTTGTTCATAATTGGAATTTTCATTCCACCATTGTTCACTGATTCCATCACTGGCACATTGCCCTATAGTGCTAACATTGTTTCGAATGCTTTCAAATAAACTATACTGAATGAAATCAATTTATAAATAAGGGAAGAAAGAAAGTGAGTAGTATTTAGTGCATATATATAACTCAAAATCATAAGTAGTACATAAAAGCATGCTTCAGAGAGGGTTATCTGCAATCATTTTGGAATTAATGGTCTCCGTATGATAGGGTCTCATATTATTGCATGTCTCAGAAATATTACCACCAAGTATCAAAGACTCGGCACTGAAATATTGAGTTAATTAGGCCAGTACCTACACCACCAGTGGATTGCTGTGATCCAGTTTGACAATGAAATGAAAAAAATTGATTCATCGGGACTAAGTGATATATTAGCCCATTACATTTCAATCGACCTGATCACATACTAACTTGTCAAGATATTTATATGACAAAAGAAAAGCCAAACAAGACTAATTGGTTGAAGAGAACAATTAAGACGGTAAGTAAAATATAGACAACAGGACTGTTAATTTCAGATTGAAAGTCATTATTACCAGAGTAGTTTATTATATGGTTTCCTCATCAGTAAAAACTAGAGAATCGCTGGATAATGTGACATTGATGCAAATGTGCTTGCATTTATCGGGAATACCCAAGTGAAAATAATCAGATATGCGTAGGAAAAGTTACTTCGGTAGCAAACTGCAATTCTTCTTATGTCGGAAGTTATATATCCTTTGTCAGTGACTTCGAAATATATACTGTGAAACAAATGAATTACAGAGAACAAGGCTTTGTTACAAAAAGCGTACGCGTCGGCAAAGTAGGCTTGTAGTTCTAATGTATAGAAGGTTTCATTAAAATGATATTGAGGATTTAAGGATAAAATATCCACTAATATCTATTATGTTCTCACTTTATTCAGTATTGTATTGGGAAGAATTGTCACATATTTGAATTAAAACACGATCAACTTTAAGACTGTGTTATATTCATCTACTGAAAATTAATATCATATTCTGACGATACATACTGATCAGAACAAAGTTTAATCTAAGATAAAAAATATTTTGTTCCGGGTTAAGGTCATGTTTATTAGTACCTTATCACAGTTCCTTTTTAAGTGCAAACAACAAACTTATGATATATTCAACACTCAACTGACAAATCCAGAATAGAACTAAAAGGAACTCATAGATTTCACTGTTAGCCGCATTTCAAATATACTAAAATGTGTGTCCAAAGACCAAATCGAGATAACCAACGAAGACTGCACATATAGCGATCGCACTCTTGAATATCAAGAACAGGAAAAAACAAACACCTACTTATATGTTTATGACTTACTGTGTTTATCGGAATAAAACAAATGACTAAACAAGGTACATAAGTCGTTTTAAAGATTCCTAATCTTTAAGGTTGAAATGAGAGCATGAGTAGTCGAAAATACCAATTTTTCTCTTTATTAGTTTATTACGCAATAATTAAGATAAGGCAGCTGATTACACCATACCTGGTTGTTTGAATTATCTCGAATATACATAGCATTGCTGAAATCGATATTTATTAATGACTGAATAAGTTTAAGTCAATCCTTTTTAAAGGATTGTTGATCCATAGAAATCAATTTTGTGTGCTATTCAACTGAGTAAAATACTGTAACCAACCTATCTTCAAAGTTTATGATATAGTCTGAAGATGTAGGAATTTATTTGAAACACTTTCCATGTTCCTTCGCCAACATAATCACTTGACTTTATGTTTTACTTACACACACAATAATGCAATCAGTACATTTGACGTCCTAGATACATCTATGTTTCTTCTGTTTCAGCGTTGTATTAACACTGATTTCCACACATAGAGAACGAAGGATATCGTTTATTTAAATCCATACCTTTATATTATGTTTATATTGTTTAGTATGGGATTACACATTATTAAGGGATACACATTCAAATTATATCGAAATACTAGCCAATTTAAAATACTCACAGAGATTTTTAATCGTTCATTCACCTGTTTTAAATAAACTGTAATATTTTCTAGTTTCGCAGAATTTCTCGCATCATTAACAAGGAGATTGTATATATTTTCACTGATCTTTGATGGCATTTTTATCCATATATTGTAGATTTCGACCACAGAATACCAAAAAGCATCAAAAGCATTGAAGCTTATTTCTTGTTTTAAACAGAAGAAAAAACAAAATAAATTTAAATGGCATAAAATGATGCCATTTTTAAAATGATGATTTAGCTAATTTAAAAATTATCAAAAAATAATAATGAAATAAAACAAGTGAATAAAATGCTCTCATCTTTTTTTCCCAATCTTGTTTAACACCATTATTTTTCATTTCAAAGTAATACTGTGGTGTGTAGTATTTATGTCGACAGATGTAAGTAACATATCTACCACCAATCGAAAGTGAAATTCCTGGCAGCAGTAAGTAGAGAAGACCGAATAGAAGAGAATTGGAACAGATACTGATCGGTATGGAGACGAAGAAACAACAAAGTCTGAGATAATCGATAGACATTATACAATTAAATTATTGAATGTATGGTATTCATGTTTTACCAAATAACGGTTTAATTTGTCATTATAAAATCCTCAATTTTAGGTTCAAGTGTTTTGCACCGGTTATCTAACACAGAAAAATTATTGATAAAGAAGTATTTTCAGATCATTATTTACATAACTTTATGCGTAAATACGTTTTTTGCTTAGGTCATAGCTTAAGTTATAATGTTAATACTAATTTGCAATCAAGATTGCTAAAGAATAAACTAGACAACTTTAGTCACAAACCATGATTATAAAACAATTAGAATTTGAAAAAAAAAAAACACAGAATAAAGTTAGTTTCATCTTCAGTACGTAGATTAAGTCTGAAAATCATAAGCTCAAATTGAACATTATTATTCACTACTTTAAATTAATGATATTTTAGCAGTATGAATGCATCATCATAAATTAATAAATACATGATTCTGTCCAGTAGATTTCTTTTGATTGGAAAACTAAACAAATTAATGCGTAAAAACCTATATTACTATTATTATTTCAGATTGCTTCTTAATTCGAATGAATCCTTTTATATGTTACACTCAATTATATTGGTAAAAAGTCATGAAGATATTATCAATAGTATTTTATATTGTTACATCATATTTACACTTACTTAAACCTTTAATTGAATCTTTGGAAAAATCTTCTGATTTCTCGATCGTTTTATTCACCAAATAATTAAGAAATGGATTAATATTGTCTATTAATTTTTCGAAAGAATTATGTTGTGTATTCGATTCTATATATATCTGAAATTATATAAATTAGTGTATTTCATTTTAAAAAAATATCATTTATGATTTTATTAAAGGTGAGTAAGGAAGTGGTGAAAAAAAATGCCTAGCTAAAATAAGTTGAGGAAATACCTTGAACCTAAGTTCCTTGATAATTGGTACTCATCACAAAGGTAAGTCTGTAATCTTCGAGGGGTTAATATTCTTTGGTGAATTCAAACCAACATCATCCAGCTTTATTGTCTGAGACTACCATTGGACTGTTTGGTCTGTTACTAACCTCTCGCAGGACTAAGATATTTACAATGGGCTGATCACTGGATGATGGTTAGCGTTGTGTTTGTCTGGTCCTTTAGTTACAAATATGCCTTGCTGACGGCTATCAACAGTCATAAAACTCAAATACAGGCTTTTGTGTCTCCTATCTCCATCCCCACGGAAAGTTTAATTTGTCTAAATGGGAACATTCTTTTTGGGTGCTATTCCAAGAAAATAGTCTAACGTCTTTCTGATAGCTCTTTTGCGCACACCCTTATCACAGGGAATTGTATATTCCCGTCTGATGTCGATGTATTTACCTAATTCGATCTGATTATTCATGCAATCTTTCACAAATCTTTCACCAATATCTCCAGTCACTCTAAGATTCTTGAAAATCTAGCTGGTATTTCTAAGTATTTTTACACTTCGAAAATGTTACACAGTCAAGTTGAACAAGGTATAATAAGTAAGACAAATGTCCTGTGAATTCAAACCTCACAATATTCAAAAGAGTTATCATCTTATTAGCTTTACTGGAAAATGAGTAATTCAGTCAACGTATTTCTCATGGGTACTTTTCCGTTCTTTATTAAATTATTCACTATATTAAAGACTACTATAGTTTTCTGAATTGAGTGGAGAAAAAAAGTCATCATATCTTATATTTCTTCTTCTTCCTTTCTTTCTGTCTAAAGTTTGAGTACTCTTTTATATCTTTAAAAAAATTCTCAAGGCAGTTAGTTGATGAACCGAAACATCTTGTCAGTATTACTAAGATTCTTCTGGTGATTAAAAAACGATAACAAAGTTGTCTAATCAATTTACTTATTCAATATTGATTCTAATCAATGTTCAAATTCTTCAATTTATATTTTATTGATATTGTTTGTACAATATTCGTGAAATTATGAATAATAAGATATGTCTACTGAATATGTGTAGAGCTCTAAAATGTCTAAAATGTACTGTAGTCGGTTGTTTTCATGTTAAGGAGATTTTCAACAGATTCAGAATTTTTAATCAATTAAAATCACTAATATCTAACGTTCGACACTAAACTATCTATTTCTCTGCATTGATCGTAAAACATTTCGATATTTCACTGGGAAATGTAATAGTTGAAAAAGGGAATACAAATAAAACTAGGGAAATTTTAGAAGCTTGGCATTCAGACTAAACGCAGTCAATAAACGTATAGAAGTTGATCCAATTCAGTTACTAACTAGAAATTATCATATACAAATATAAAACCAAAAATTGAGTCAATTTGTAAGACCGTCAAAAAAAAATATACAGTCAGTTACCGGGCAGATGTTGATAGCATCCAGTCCTTGTTGGCAAAACAAGCTGTCAGTTACATGTTCTTACTTACTTACTTACTCCTGTTACCCTTGTGGGGTAGCACAGACCACCCACTAACATTCTACATCGAACTCTGTCTTAGGAAATCCATTCTAGTTCTTTATAGTTGCTTTACATCCTTTACACGTCTGCTACCGACTTCCGACGTAGTGTGTTCTTTGGCCTCCCTCTTTTCCTTGTAATCGTTTGTTTCGTGATGCAGTTTGATGATTTCCGTAACATAAGTCCTATTCATTTGCAGCATCTTTTCCTCTTCAGCTGTAATATGAATTGTTATCTCTAACAGTAGGCCGTTACTGGTGATATCCGGTCAACGGGGTATCTTGGGTAGACAGTCATTTATAAATACTTGTATCTTCTTGATGATGGTTGTGGTAGCTCTTCACGTTCCAGCTCCGTACAGTAGAACTTCTTTTACGTTCGTGTTAAAGATTCTGACATCGCTGTTGGTTTGCAGACAGTTGTTTTGAGTTTCATATATTCTCTAATTGTAGGAATGTGGTCCCTACTTTAGCAGTTCTCGCCTTTACGTCTGATTCAGATCTTCCACGTTCATCGATGATACTTATCTGGTACATGAAAGATTCCAGATCTTCCAGAGTTACTCCACCAAGTGTGATTGTGTTAGTGCTTTTTATGTTGTACTTGAGGATCTCGTTTTTTCCTTGTGTATGTTGAGGCCTACTGACGCAGAGGCTTCTGCTACACTAGTTGTCTTCATCTGCATTTGTACGTGTGTATGAGACAGAATAACCAGGTTAGTTACACGTGGTGAAATTTTAATAGTTAATTTCTATCTGAAGCTTGTTCTAGTTTACTATCCAGAAAACAATGGAACCTTTATGCAATGTTAAGAAAATTCTTTTCCTGGGTTACAAAATTAGCCCATCACATCGTAAAGTGGTTTATGTCATTTATTGAAACATAATCTTAGTAATTAACTAATTAGTATCAGAAGGGGTTTTGTGGATAATATAATAACTTTAATAGTTGAAATCATGAGTGAATTAAAGCTAGAGCACCATGAAGAAATCTCGCGAGACTGGATCGTGGATGCCCACTGGTGATGAGTCCCAAAATAGGACGAAACGGCCGTCCAGTGCTTCTAGGTTTTTCATGATGGTCTATCTTCAATTGACTCATAAGCTCAACTTCTAAAATTACTACAATCTCCACAAAACCCATTCTGATACTAATCAACATATGCTTACTAGTGACTGGCTTCAAGATGTATATCCTGGAGTTCCAGTGAGAAGCTGTGACCAGTGGAGTTAAACAGGGTCTGTTGTGAGATAGTATCTCACTGGTGACAATGGTGGATGTGTCGCTCAATTTCGTGTATTAGTTGAAGTTGGATATTAGCACCGTTGGATGCCGGCTCAGTGGTCTAGTGGTTAAGAGCTCTCGTGCAAGACTGATGTGTCCTGGGTCCTAATCTCGCGAGGCAGGATCGTGGCTGCGCACTGTTGAGGAGTCGCACAATAGGAAGAAATGGCCATTCAGTGCTTCGAGGTTTTCCATAGTAGTCTACCTTCAATTGACTCATGGTCTCAACTATTAAAATTAACTAATTATCTGTTAATAATTTGGATCCTTTCTTCTATTATATATTTTGTCATACGAAATGATTTATTCAAATCTTCTACTATCTACACAAAACTTCACTAAACAAAATATAAAAACGAAATATATTTGTATAACATAAAAAATAAACGAACAATAAACGCGTTTCGCTTGTTTTTTTATTTTGATTTTCTATCATTTGTCACATATAAAAAGTAAACATAACTTCATTTCATTCATGTACCAGTTGAAATGAAACAGGATTTCTATTTCTGTTTGATTATCAAAATAAAAACTAAACTATAACTAAATTATTTTTGTTTTAATAAAGTATATTTCATGATTTATTAGCATAATTGAAACAAGAATTTTAAACTAAAAGTTATAAGTAAAAATGTTATTCTATCCGACTATATAATAATGAATAACTGAAGAAGAGTAAGCTAATCTAGATTATACTTAACAGCAATAGTCTGAACTGTCATATTTATGAAATTGTGTGTTTTTCAAATAAATGTATGAAGGCAATAGATCAGGATTGCGCATCAATGTAACATTTGGTTACAGCTTAGTGATCAAGAGGTTAATCGTTTTCACACCAAAGCGAAGGTCCTAGGTTCAATTCACGGATGTGAGGTAATGACTACACACCGCTGACGAGTCTTACACCAGAACGAAACGGCCGTTCAGTGCTTCCAGGTCTTCAGTGGTGGTCGAGTTAAGAACGGTTCATGACTTAAACTATGAAAACATTTAAAACATTGAATTTTAGTTTAAAAAACGACTAATGTCTTTAATTAGATAGAATAGGGAAATCGTTAGTGTCGAGTCATTCTTATTTCTATAGTGTTTGATAAGAACTAACTGATTATATGCCAACAGAAATAGATGCTAACGTTAAAATTGATAAAATGTTGAACGCAAAACATTTGTTTTTTGTGCGAAAAACAATCATATTCATGCGGAATGCATATTTTCTTCAAATAAAACTAAGTCTTTCTTGTAGTAGAATAACGTTTGAGTATTCTTGCATTGTAATTTTATATTTTCGTTAAAAGTCCACCAAGAATCAGTGAAATACACATTTGATTGTTTAAAGTTGATCAAAAATGAACTTTAAACCTTCTTTCTGAGCCAGTTAAAGGTTTGTCAAAATGGTCATGACCACCACGTTTTATAAGAATAAACTGTTAATATTATTTACAATTTGCTGTATTGTATCCATGTACGACTATCTGGAATAACATGGTAGGTAAATATAGAATTTATAGCTTCATGGTAGCTAATGAAATACTCTTACAAGCAACACAATTGCTTTATTGACTGTGATAATACATCACTGAGATGGTCAAAACCATAAACATTAATTTCAAAGCACCCTTTCAACTGATCAATACAAAATTGTAATGTATTAGCTCAGTCAAAATATTGAGTAATTCCCAATCACTTTCGATTCACAAATAATTAATGTCTAGATTACTCTTAATCCCGGTTATTTCTGTTATATATTATTGGTATAGTTAAGTAATTGATACATTGTCTAGTCTTTTCGTAACAATCAATCCAATACTTTTGGAAACTTATTTCACGTATTATTGAAAATGTAACGATGAACAACACTGAGTATTTAAATATCACTTTGTCAAGATTGATTAAATATCTAAAAACATGAAAATCCTCTGAATAATCAATATACATACTTCTTATGTTTATTGATTAAATGATTGGTTTATGGTATGTTCTATCTTGTTCTGATAGCAGACGTTTATTTGACGGTATTAGACGATATCCATGCCCTTTTCAGGTTCATAAATTATAGTTCATTGATAATATACTTGTTGCTTTGATTCGTACTACATATGTCTTAGTGATGTAGAAGTTTAGACTAATTAGCTATGTTGCATCACGATCTTGTGTTTTTCATGCTTGAATGAGACAGAATAATACAAAGTACTTGGATGTTCTCTCGTTTGTTCTGATTGATATTTTGGGACTGAGCAATTTATATATATAAGCTCTGTCTGTGAACCTATTGTTACTAACATAGACAAAATCATAGCATGTTCATTTTGTGTTTTGACCATGTCTTGTTTTATTCAACATACATTTCTCATAATTACTTTCTATCAATCACAATATCTGACAAGAAATTTAGTTCATCTACAAATTAATTCTATATAGTTAGTTGTTATGATTGAAATTAAATTAAATTATATTAGGATTACTCCAAGATAAGTGTTAATCATTTTTGTCACAAATGACAGTCTGAAATACATATTCACCATTATAAAAATACGGTATATAGTAACCGAACAATTCAATTAAACATAAACAAATGAATTCCCATGGTCAAATAAGATCACAGGATAGACTGGTATTTTCCTTTATTGCGAAACATTTGATTAAGACTGATCATAAGATTTACCAGAAGGGGATTTGTGAAGATTTTATTAATTTCAATAGTTGAAATCATGAGTCAGTTGAAGGTAGACAACTATGGAAAACCTGGAAGCACTGGATGGCCGTTTCGTCCTATTGTGGCACTCCACGACCCTGCCCCCCCGCGAGATTCGAAGCCAGGACCTATCAAGTCAGCATTTGTAGTGTTGTACAAAAGTCTTCAAGGACATATACTAGGGTTTATTGAAGCCTTGGCTATACGGAAAGTGAAATCTCCTTTATGCGTTCAAAAACAATTTGTCCTTAACCTTAACCTACCCTGGTAATACTGATTTATTATCTAGAGCGGTTATCACATTGCTTTTGTGTACTTTATTTTCCTTCTTCCTTACAGCTTACCTTTATTCTATCTAGTTGACTTTATAATTTTCATATAAAAATGTCTTAACAAGTATATTACATGTGGTTAGATTGTTCGAAATGTATTGCGTAAATATAATACATAATACTGATAAAATTCATCTTCTCATTGCATAATACGAAATTAAATTCTCACTATGGAATTATGGAGATCATTAAATTTTTGATTTAGAATCTCAATGATGATTATTTAACATGAATCAATTCATGATCTCAAGCAACAACAACAACAAGAGCAACACCAACAAAAGCAAAAAAAACACACATTAAATGAAAGATATTGACATTGTACAATATTATATTAACTTACCATTAAATGTTTATAAATGTTATCAAAATATTTTATTAAATTGAATTTAGATTGAATTAAATTATTGAACATTTTATTGTATCCATGCCATTTTTCCAGAAAATTTAATTTTTTTATATTTAAATTCATTGATAATATATTTTTAATTATTGGAATATTGATTGATTCAATAAAAACAGATTCATTATTTATCCAATATATAAGTAAATAAGTAGTATATTCTAAATCAGAATAAATTATATTAATAGATTGATTAAATTTTATTTGATCTATAGAATTCATTAAATTATTTGTAAACATAATAATGAATTGTTGTCCATACTGATATATTTTAGAAAAACTAAATTGAATTATAGAATTGATTTGTTTAGGTAATCCATTCATAGATAACTTGATATAAGAAAAATATTGAAAGAAAGAAAAAAAGAGAGAAAGAATGATTAGATAACACTTTTTTCCTCTTTAAATATAGAAACAGATAGTTATGTTCATATTGATTTTTTTAAAGAAAAGTTATCCCATTAAACTAATTATAAAACTTACCAGTCATAAACAATGATAGCATAGATGAAAATGTTTATAAAATTTCATATATGCAATCATTAGTTCATACATTGTGGTGTGTGCTATTTATATTGACATAAGTAGTATATAACGTTACTCGTGAACAGAAGGTCTGGCAGCAGAGAGGCAAGAGGATCGAACAGTAAAGAATGGGAACAAAGTGCAATTTGTATGAAAATGCAAGAACAATGAAGTTTGAGTCATTAAGAGGCAACTGATGAACATTTTTCAAACTACGTGTTTACTATTTGATTGTTGGATATCATTAACAAGCCCTGTAATTTTGTGTTAAATACATTCGATTGTCAACACCGGTGTTCTTCTTCACTACAACATAACTTATTGTTTATAATATTATGTTACATAATCCTTAATTTAGGTTGGATTCTAAACGTGCTTTTTAACAATTTAATTAAAATTAGAATATAGTAGACTTGAAAATGAGTTTTATTTTACGAAGACCATGGAATTAATGATATATACACTTAAATTCAATTTTTAAATATTATAATGTATCAAATGAAGGAAGTGTGAAGTAAAGAAGTTTTGAATTAGATTACTGAAAATTGTTTTAATTATTCATGTAAGACAATTTCATTCTTGTTAAGATGCTAAAAATATGTATTAGTTAATTTATTGGTTATATGTACATATATTCTATGTTAAACGTTAATTTTTGTCACTATATAGGTCTATTGACAGTTGTTTTCAAAAATATGCTATTTTTTAATCCCATGTCAACTTTTTGTCTCTCCTGTATAATAATAGTAGTATCGGAGTTTGTAAAGATGTTAAGTAACGTAATTTTGTTATGTCCTAGCAAAGAATAACTTCTGAAACCTATTAATGGACAAATATTATCTATATATTATTATGGTATAGCTACTCAGTAATAAGATTATGTATACCTATATCCCCCTTATTATAAGCTTCATTTTGACCTATAGATTATTATTGTACGATTTACTGTTCTTAAGTTACACGTTCACAGCCACATTTAGGCTTTATTGTGTATAAACGTTATTTTCTATTTTACGGTACGTCGCGGGCCGTTTGGTTGATATATAAACATTATGTTTAGAATAAATGATTTGTCTAGTGGAGGCTGTTATTAGCACTCTGGACTCATCTGGACGGGCTAGGCGAGCAATGGACCAATAGGACGCTAGGCTGATCAGACCGAACGAACGTCATTGGTTTAGTACACTACAAGGACGTATAAGTCGTATTTTGATTAGCGAATGAATTGAGTGATAACTAGCCACAATTAAAGATACAACAAACTGCTGGTGTGTTTAATTTGGTTTGTTACTCATCAATTAAATTTAAATGAACTAAAATGATGATAATCGCATTCATCATTCATTATCTTCATCCTATAAACTAGACATTTGCATAAATCAAAAAGAATTTTACACATACTTACTGATAAATCTTCACTTATTTCTGGTCTCCAGTACGAAAATAAATGAAGAATGTTTGAATGATCTAAGTGTACTATTAAACGACCATTCAAACTACTTTGATTGATTGACTGATGATGACTGATTACTTGTAACATGGCACCATAATTCTTGGTTAATTTGATTTGCAGTATTGTATCTGTGAATCAAATACATTTAATTATCTAGTACACATCATAGATTCACATGTTTCAGTTTATGTTGATACAAACTCTATTTAGTCTTATTAAGATCAGTGTAAACGTTTTATTGAATGGATTCAAACAATGACTGTTCTTGTCAAATGGTAAAGACTACAAACTAAAAGCTTTTACAATCAATTTGTTTCCTCAGTCTACATATAAAATATTTGTCATAAATAGTGGCTAAAATATGGATTGGTTATTCTTCGAAAGTTTAAACACAAAATTACGATTTATAACATGTCATGATATTTCAAAGGGTTTCTAAAATTATACATGGCGTACAGGCATGTTTCTATATTTAAATACAGTTAAACATCAGTAAACTTATGAGTTGAATACATAAATTTCTTTATTGTAACAGAAATACGTCTGCAATTACAAATAATAAAAAAATTTCATACATCACAGTGTAGCTCTTAGTGTTCCACAATATATTCGATGAAATAGACCACGGTTTTACTACATATGACTAGTTTTAAGGTTACCATCTATAGCAAGATTTTTCTTTTTCAGTTCACTGTAACCTCAGGTCTCTGCATCACTGCTTCTGCGATCAGTCCTGATAAAGGTGGTCCCATCGGTATCCCTTTCGTTTGATCGTTGATTTTTTTCGTTGAATTGATCATATGTTGTTAGGCATAAATCGATGAGTTCTAGTAGACTTTGAATTTGAAGCTTCGTGTACTTTGTGAGAGTTGTGTCGTTGGTGAGAAGCAAGGATATAATTTCCATTGCTAACCTTGGTTCAGTTGAGGTTAATAACGCTGTTACATCGAAGGATATCATCAGCTCGTCGTTGTTGATTTGAATGTTCTTAAATTGATCCAAGAATTGTGTGAGGGATTTGATGGAGTGGTTGGAAAATTATTCATAAAAATAGGAACAAAATCAAACCAATGGGAGATATAACCAAAACAAAGAAGTAAACAATGACAAGTTTAAGGTCAACAAGAACCAATCAACATCGAGGTCTATAGGACAAGCTGTGAACCACATATGGAGAAATTCGAACGCTTCAATTCTATCTGAAGTTTGTTCCAATGATTTTGTTCAGAAGGACGATGAAAGTTCCACGACCAAACCATCCAGCTCAGAGAAAAAAACTTCATCATGATGGGAACTCTTATTTTTTTCTGTCTTTTTTTTCTTTTTGAAAGGATTTTTAATCTTGTTATAAAATGAGCATTACACAGAGAAAGAAAAAAACATATCATAATTCAGTTAATCTTACTTTTTTCTTATCAGAAAGGGGTTTTATGTAGATTTTAGCAATATAACAGTTCAATTCATGAGTCAATCACTATAAAAAAATGGTTGTTCAGTGTTTTCAGGTTTTTCATAGTAGTCTACCTTTAATTGATTCATGAACTGATGAACTACTAAAGTTTTTAAAATTTTTATTCAGGTCAAACTATCAATAATTAATTTGAGTTTATATTAAGAAAAGTGTCTTATTATTGTGAATAGAACAATAATAGATTACTTGACAATTTTTCTAATTTTAAGTTAAAAAAACTTCATTATGAATTTTAATATAAAATGAATAATTAATGTACTGAAAAATAGGAGAAAGAAGAAGAAAAAAAAGGAGGAAAAAAGAAGAAAAACTAACAGAATAAGAAAATTACAAATGATGAATTAAATTGATTTTCAATCGAGTTTTGTGTCCTTATATCTTACTTTAATTAAAAAAGCTTTTGACTTAGGGCAATAACGAGGCTATCATCACAGGATTCACATATATCAATTACAGTCCCAAACAACAATGGTAGGATACAAGAAAACAACATCAAGTGAATTGAAAACTTTACTCAATTGCACAAGCGAGTGTCTTTCAGGACTCTGTAGTTAAGTTGATAACACGATGGTGTTTGAAGCGAATGGTATTAGGTTCGAGTCCCAGAGTGATCATCAATTCTGTGATGCAGGTACATCCAGCTAACATGTCCCAAATAGAACGAAACGCACATCAAACTGGATTCCACTGGTGGACACCATCGAGTTTTGCTCATAAAGCTTGTGTCTTAAGACAATATCGAGTCAATCCACACAGGATTCACATATGTCAACAAGAGACTGATCAAATCAAGTTCTAAATAACATTGAGAAGATACAAGCAAACAACAACAAATGAATTTAAACGTATGAGTGAAAGTTGTTAAAATATACACATCGTCAATTTTCGTATAAAATTATCGGCTTCAATGACGTTCGTGAATAACATAATCAAATAAGTCAAATACGAGAATGAATTACGAGTACATGTATATTCATATAATCGTTGATCCAGACAAATGATTGAAGAAACGAAGCGAAAGTAGCGAAGCAAGATGATACGCAGTAATGAAGGCACGTAAGCCAACTCGATTTAATCTAGCGTTCATCACTATTTATAGTCACAAAAAAATAAGCTATAGACATGTGATGAATAGGATTAAAAGTGCACACACACACACACATATACCCCCATATATGTGAGTCAAAACATGACTCAAGAAGGATGAACAGATCAGCCTGCCTGGAATCTAGCATAAATTATATAGGTTTAACATAGTAACTGACACAACAACAGGAAGAAATCTAGTCAAGTTGAATTTTTCTTTACATAATTCAATGTAATCTCAAGAAAAAACAATCATTCATTTATTGATTATGACATCTTTAATTATAAATTATCACTATCATTAAGAAATATAACTAATAATGAAATTAATTTCTCATGGTGTATTATCATTGATTTATTTTATCATAATTAATTTTTATAATTAGAATTTGTAAGTTTAGGCAACAATTATGTTGTTCCATAATGAATGATCTTATGGATAATAAAATAATATTGACATTTGGCAATTGTAACCTAATTTATATATAAAATGATTGATTAATAGTGATTAGATAGGTGACATGATAGAATTAGTAATTGAATAATTATAATGGATAAATTATAAACAAAATAGATATTCAATGTTTGTTTTCATTTTACTGGTTTTCCATTTTATATTATATTTCTTCTAGTACTATTATACATAAACAGTTTTCTTTATGATATATTATCGGTCCTCTAAAAAGAAAAACAGATAAACATTACATTCTTTTTTTCCTGTACATTATTAAGTAATTGAGAATTAATTTCACATTATGATTCTGTGTCATATATGTGAGTTAGATTTGTGCCTGGAATCCTTGTTTATTTTCAGTAGACAGTACAGCAGAAGTATTCAGTTTATGGGTAATTAATGTAGTATGGTAACAAAATTCGAATATATATATATACATATATATATATATATTCACTTGATGATGTTTGCTTGTATCTTCTCAATGTTATTTAGAACTTGATTTGATCAGTCTCTTGTTGGCGTATATGAATCCTGTGTGGATTGACTTGATATTACTTCAAGACACAAGCTTTATAAGCAAGGATGGATAGTGGCTAGTAACGTAAATCAGGACGTACATTTCGTCTTATTTGGGACATGTTAGCTGGATGTACCTGCATCACAGAATTGATGATCACTCTGGGACTCGAACCTAATACCATTCGCTTCAAACACCATCGTGTTATCAACTTAACTACAGAGTCCTGAAAGACACTCGTTTGTGCAATTGAGTAAAGTTTTCAATTCACTTGATGTTGTTTTCTTGTATCTTTCCAATGTTGTTTAGTACTGCAATTGATAAGTCTGTTGTTGGTATATCTGAATCCTTTGTGGATTGACTCGATATTGCTTGAAGTCACAAGCTTTATGAGCAAATATATACATATATATAAATGTACTCACTGTGTTCATTGGAACCGATTACTGACTTAATATCTAACAAATCAGCATTATTAACAAATATATTCTTATCTTGATAATTCATTGAAATTATATAACTAAAATTGAATGATTTATTTTGATTATATAACTGGTAGATTATTTGAAAAATATCATGGTAATCATAATTAATATGATAAATGTTATTATTATAATTTTGATAAATAAGATTGTAATTGAATTCCAGATAATTTTCAATCTTAATTTTGTTATCAATTCATTGAGATTTTGTTTTTATATCCAATTTGTAAATAGATTGACATAGATACATGAAAAAAAAGAAATAAAAAGAGAAAAACAACGAAGAAATAATGGGTAAATAATAGTGTTTTACTTATTTGCAAAATATGATAATCAACGAAAATATTGACTTAATAAGTACAACTTAATTTATTTACTTGATTATTAAAACGTTTTTAAAGTGTATAATCGTTTGTGTATGTGTGTGTGCGTGTGTATGAATCTGTTTACTCACAAATCAAAACTATCTTATCAGAATATGACTTATTTACTTCTTCACACAAACAATCCGGATGGCAAAGAAAATGGAGAGAAAAGAATACAAGAGATAATGAAAGGTTATATATTTCCATTTGCTGTAATATCTTAATTATAGTATATCAAATTATCTGTTTATTTGTCCTTATTTAAATAAAAATGATCTGTGTTTGTCTTTAAGGTTGATACAATAAAAGATTTATGAGTTAACTATATGAAATGATTGTATTTTAAAGTCACAAAGTGAAGTATGTTCGTTTTTGTAAGTTATTTGTATTGTAGATTGGTGTTTTAGTGGCCCGGGATCTGATTCCAATTACATGGTATGATTGTTTGTTATAGCCTATCCTCGTATATAATCATCGACATAATTCGCGTTAGTCAATAACAGGATTAAATAAGTCAAATAACGAGAATGGACTTTCGAATACATATATTCCGTATATGAAGCGAATGGAAGAGAGAGAAGCGAAACGACGCAGAGTGAAGAAGGCACATAAGCCAACTCCATTTAATCAAGCGTTAATCAATATTTATAGTTACACGAAAATAGGTTACAGACATGTGATGAATGGGATAAGAAGGGCACTCACATATGCGGTCATATAAAAACAGTCAAGATTGATAAGCGAATAATTAACAAGGTCAAAATATGACTTAAGTAGAATGAATAGATTGACCTGTCTGAAAGCTAAAATAAGGTATATGGGTTTAACATAATAACCGACACTACAGTGTCAATTGTATTAACATTCTAAATAAGATAGAATTAACAACCTTACCAGCATAAATGTATACATTTTCTTAAAATTTCACCTTTAATACTATAGTTCTGCGGTATGTTTTATTTTTAAGTATTTCATTTTAGTATTGTTGTATTTTTGGATAATGATCCTACAATAGTATAGAGTGAACTAACTATAAAAGTTCTATCAATTGATTATATCTACTTTTATCAGAATGTGTTTTGTGGAGATTTTTAGAAATTTTCACAGATTGAACTCATGAGTCAGTTGAAGCTAGACCACCATTGAAAACCTGGAAGCACTGGACGGCCGTTTCGTCCTAGTATGGGACTCCTCAGCAGTGCGCATCCACGACCCCGCACCACCCGGGGCTCGAACCCAGGACCTACTGGCTTCGCGCGCGAGCACTTAACCATTAGACCACTGAGCCGGCATCCAACGGTGTTAATGTCTAACTTCAACCAATCCACGAAGTTGCGCTACCGTACACCATTGTCTTCAGTGAGTTCCTATCTCACAACAGACCTGGTTGAACTCCACTGGTAACGACTTCTCACTAGAACTCCAGAAGTGTCTCCTGAAGTCAGTCACTAGTGAGCAGGTGATTGTTATTATATATCTACTTTTGTCTAATCATCCGGCAAAAATACCAAGATTTATCCGGATTACAAGCAAACAATCTATTTTGTCTAGTCAAATATAATTTGTGGAAATATAAGAATTATGAAATTATATAAAGATTGGATGAATTCAAATAATGCACTGAATCACCGTATAAATTCTTCATTATATATTTCTACTTGGAAATAACATATATAAAAGATTTGAAACAGTTTTTTCTATGTCCTACATGATTAAATGCACAATTGATTGATTACTGGGTGGTGATCAATGTCACATCTGTCAAATCCTTATGATTACAGGTACACCTTGTTGATATATGCGAAATAGCACGAAATCCGGGTCCAGGGTTTCCTGTTGACTATCTGCAACCATCATTTTATGATTAAATCCAGTTTCGATTTTGCTCTGGTGATATTGTAGTTTATTAGTTGGTCTGTTTTAATGACATAGATAAATCTTCATATTCTTAGTTCCTACGATAAATATTTCTAAAGAAAACACTGACTGACTACTGAATATTATCTAATAACGTCATTTTATCTTGTGTTTTGGTACTTATCTTCTTGCGAAGATCAAATTTCATTGTCTTCATCAGTCCAAGAAACCTCAATGTCCAATGAAAAAAATACACGAACATAGACTCTTTCATTAGGCGAAATGCAACTATCTACAGAGAATGTTAAGTTTTGTATAGATATTCGTATATATAAATCACCAAATAATAACTCATGAGCTTGGTATAACTATGTCTGTCTGATGAATATCAGTTAAGAGGTTGCTATATCTAAAAGAATATGTAGATAATCAAAGTAAATATCCTACTTTTACTGATAGTAGATCAATCGAGATAGAAGTAATTGATGAAAAATATCTGTTGTTTCGTTTAATAAAGAATAAAGGCAATTCTGCTCAGAAAACTTTATTCCACGATATTATCTATTGAAGCTGTACAGCTGTGTTTATGGTGATTTCATAAATATATGCACTCATAGAAGAACCATAAGAGACTAGATCGTATAGTGGTGTTTCCAACGTGGGATTAATCAAAATTGTTATCATTTCATGATTGTACTGACCGAACTATGGATGAAACTATTTGTGTATGAAATGTAAATAAATATTTGAGTTTTGTGGATTTTTATTCAAAAGTTTATGATGACATACGACTAAATTATACTTGAAGAATTATCTACATTTCCGGTTAAATCCTGTTGGGACATGGTATCAGAGGGTCATAAAAGATATATTATTACAATAAACTAATAATCTGTATAGTTATCTAACAATTTGTGTTAATAATTATTCCTTTGTTTTCTTTAACTTAATATAGATAGATAATTAATATAACTTTTCTAACATTATAAATAAGAGAAGGGAATAAATACCTGTTTTCTCTGTTATAACTTACAAAAAATAATCTCTAAAGCAAGCTAACTAAATAATTTCTTTTAACCCTGAACATCGTACTTATTAAGTATTTCATTCAGGTAATAAAATGAAAACATTTCATATTAATCAACATATGCTCACTAGTGACTGGCTTCATGAGGTATATCCTGGAGTTCTAGTGAGAAGCTGTGACCAGTGGAGTTAAACAGGGTCTGTTGTGAGATAGTAACTCACTGAAGACAGCGGTAGATGTGTCGCTCAATTTCGTGTATTAGTTGAAGTTAAACATTAGCACCGTTGGATGCCGGCTCAGTGGTGTAGTGGTTAAGTGTTCGCTCGCGAAACCAGTAGGTACTAGGCTGGAATCTCTTAGGGGGCAAGGTCATGGATGAGGACTGCTGAGGAGTCGCACAATAGGACGAAACGGCCGCCCAGTGCTTTGAGGTTTTCCATGGTGGTCTAGCTTTAAATGACTCATGATCTTAACCATTGAAATTACTACAATCTCCACAAAACCCATTTGACATTTCATATTAATCTGTGAATTTAGCTACCAATTAGCTTTTTGGATTGAGATTATGAACCAATTGATTTCTGACCATCATTAAAAACCTGGAAGTAGTGGATGACCGTTTCACCCTATTGTGAGACTTTTCAGCAATGTGCATCCACAATCCTGCATCGCGAGATTCGAACCTAGAGCCTTCGATCTCGCGCGCAAACGTTTAAACTCTAAACCATTGAGCCGGCATCCAACAATGTTAATGTCTAACCTCAATCAATCCACGAAATTGCGCGACCATCCTCCATTGTACTGAGGAAGACACCGGTATCTACCTGACGTAGATTAGCTCCACTGATCACGCATTTCCAATAGAAATCCGAGAATTCCCCCACGAATCTAGTCACTAATGAGCACATGGTAATTATTAGTATATGGTTATGCAGATTATTAAGTTTTTGATTGGGATCATGAATCGATTGTTGTTAGACCACCATTTAAAACCTGGAAGCATCAGAAAGCCGTTTCATCCTGCTGTGGGACTCCTCAGCAGTGCACATCTACGATTCGAAAAGCTGTTATCAATGAAGTTTAGCTATCTCAAATGTCAGACAGTTTCAAAGTACATAGAGCTGACTGAAGTCAAACATTCAAACCAGTGGATGATAGCACCCTGCACTCAAGGCCAAGTGCTCATCGTGAGACCTGAATGTCCTCAGAAGTTGCCAGTGTTCTCTGCTGAGCTTTATGCTATAATGAATCAACTGTCCAACACTTGTTGGTTTTCAATAGCTATTTCGCTAGGATCAGTCTGTGATATTAACGATCGATTATCGTTATTTGTCATTATCCTAACTCTTGACTTGTTCAACTCGATAAATCATTGAATTCTGTTAAAATGTTGAGATATTTAGAGTGAAGTAACAAGTGAATAGTGAATACATAATAAAGTAAGTAAATATATTCAGCTTCAACTTTATTCATGAAACAAAATCAGCTTCACAATTGCATCCTGTGTGGATTGCCACGATATTGCCTTAAGTCAAAAGCTTTATGAGCAAAGATAGATGGTGGCTGGTGGTGGAAATCAGGAAACATCAGCTGGATGTACCAGCATCACAAAATTGATGTTCACTCTGCGACTCGAACCCGGTACCGTTCACTTGAAATGCCATCGTGTTATCTACTGAGTCCTGATAGCCGTCATTAGTTTTGTGCAAAATCGCCACCCCTGTTAAATTGATTAAGTAGACTTTTGTGTTCGAACATTGTAAATTAATCTCAACTTTAACTGTATAACTGAAATGTCAGTTTATCTATGTAACTCAATATGGAATGAAAAATATAAGCCATAAAATCGAAACATAAACCTCTTGGGGACAGTTTTGATCAGATTTATTTTTAGGACAGTTTTCAATTTTTTAATAATCATTATCACAG